AAATCTGATTAGTCCCTCATGCCACAGCACACAGAATCACAGATCTGAGAAGGAAAAGAGAGACCAGTAGGTTCAGAAAGAAAGACTGAGAAGGGAGCATGCCCAATCACATCAGCTAGATCTATGTGCTGGAATCAAGTGGTGCATCTCCTTCAGGGCTCTGTATATTCAACTACTCTTGAGCTATGTGGACGTGGAAGTATTAAAAGATCAGCAAAGACATTGAAGAAGAAAGGAGACTTACGAAGCTTGTGCTGATCCTTCAAAAAGCAGCTTCTCTTTTTCAATTTTCACAGAATGATCTTGTTTTTCTTAAGCATCAGGGTACAATAAATTTGATACAAAACCAGTGAAATTGCATCTCACTTTACAGTCTTTTTTTGCCAGGATTCAAAATTTCTTCCTCAAAAGAATGGAAAAAGTTACTAATTAAAGCTAAGCTGAAGGCAGAATGCCTGATTTTTGGCACATCCCAAACAAGGAAAGGATGTAAATCTAAAGATTCCTCCAGTCTACTAAAAAAAAAAAAAGAGAATACAATAGTTAACATCTAAATGGCAGATATTTTTTCGGTGATAACATTAAAAGGATTATCCCAAAACAAATTACTCTTAATTGGTTTACAGAGAAAAATATGAATATGGTAGGAATTCACTGAGGCAAACAGAAGTGCATATTTTATGAATAAGTACTGCGGTCATCCATTTGTTACTTCAAAATAAAAAACAAACAACATTTGCATAACAAAACTGTTTACATATCTTAATGAAAATGTGTCATTATCTCCTCCTGGCTTTTATATGACAGTCAGCATACGTCTTAGGTCCAATATATTGAGTTTTACACCATCTATTGCTTCAACAGCTTTGATATTTTAAGTGATCCACATTAGCATGCAGAATCAACAAGAATCCTTGAGTGCAGTTATTAGTATTTTAAAGAGGTCAAAATTATGCAGATCTACCAGAAAGAAATAATGCAGAACTGATCACTCTATTGATTCTGAAAACATGAGACACTAGCCTCACCATTCTACAAATCAATTCTACTGGAAGCTAAAGGATTAGACTGACGCGTATTTCCCAAGCTACATCTGTCAGAAGTTTAAAAAAGCAACCAGCCCACTGAGCAAGAACTGGCACTTTGGGAAATGGCTTAAATAGCACTGAGCTCTCAGCTAGCAGTTTTATGCTTATTACATATTTGAATAGACTCAAGAGTCTATTTCTTGTCACCTCCACATTTGACTTAAAGATAAAAATTAGGGGAAAAAAAAAAGGAAAAAAGAAAAAACCAAACCTCGTATTGTGAATTTCTCAGTATACCAGAGATTTCAGGATATTACTGCTATGGACAGTAAAAGCACGGGAGCACAGAGCCAGCAGTACTGTTTCAACTAAGTAACAAAGACAAACAGGAGGAAGGGAGGAGGGGAGCCCACAGGGGCACTGACTCTGCCCAAGTCTCATCCTTCCCTCCTAGAATCTCAGACTTAACGGCTTTTCCATTCTTCTGATTGCAATTTCCACCTCAGCCACATTTTACTGATAGTGTGCCTAATGCTCCTTATGCAAACACATCTACTCAAGGCATTACTTTGCTTGTGCGTAAAAGTATGACTTAGGAGACCTTCAACAAATAAAAGTCTTACATCAGACTGGGCCATATACTTTATGTTAAACTGCAGTTGTTTTCAGACTTTTTTTAAAAAACAAACCCAATCTTTTGGGCCCTCAAAATTCTCCAGTGGAAGAACTCAAAAACTACAGATTTGACAGATAAGAAACGGTGCATACACCCTTTAGAGATAACCCACACAAAACCAACATTCTACTGTATCCTGCTTTATTTCATGAAACCTACACAAAAGCTAGTCCAACTGCCCGACCAATTCAGGGCTGACCAAACGCTTGGTAAATACATTGTAATTACTTGACCAAAGGCTGTAGATATACACACCCAGTAAGCACCAAGTGCAGAGCAGGAAATCTCCTTCCTTCAGGCAGTTTCCCCTTCCTATGCTAGAGCACTTGCAAGCCAAGCACTGCAGTAGAGCTAGCAGTCTGCTTCTACCTTGGGACTACATTTTCCCAGATCAGACTCCTGAGCACCTGTGCCTTGACAGCCAGCTGCATCCGTCCTTGGATAGCATGGGGGCAGATGGGAACGGGGAAGCAGATGGACTCAGGCATGGCAGCAATGCTGTACTACGGCTGCACAAATGCACTAGCAGGAAGTAGCACTTTGAAGACTAACCTGAAAGTTCCCATGATTAGCGCAGGGCTCACAATACATCCTTGTCAAAGGACACAGCTTGATATTCACAGCTCAGCATATGCATGTTGCTGCCCTGTGACCAGACACTCAGCTCAACCTCACGGCTTGACACTGAGATCTGCTACAGCATGTCTGATGTAACACTGGAGTTTTGGATGAGCAGCCATGTGACAGCCTCACAGCCCCAGGAGACCCACTGCTGATGAGCTGCTTATCAAGACAGATCCAGCTACTGGTGCTTTACTTTTCCACTTTTCTAATAGCAGACATGTGGAAAGAGGAAAGTCATTGGGAAAACTCATCTGACTTTTGAGCAACTTCATTAAAACTCCATGCAATGAAGCCATTAATTGAGTCACTTTAAGAGAACCAGGCTTACCTTGAAGCACTCTATGGCTCCAATTCACAAGTCCCATGCCTCAAAAAAACTCGGCTGCTGCAAACACCAAGGTAAAGACTTTGTTGCTCTATCTCAAAACTCCAGAAACAGCAAAAAGGATTTTTTTAAAAACTCATAAATCATGGTATTTAGTATGCTGTATTTGAGGACAATCATGATTTTGAAAAAGAATAGTACAATTGCATTTGTAGAAATCCATTTTCTTCACTGGTCTACATTTTTATCTTTACAGACAGAAATTTAGCTTTGTTAAATGATTCATTTTTATATTTCATTTACAGAAAAAAACTACAGAACACGTATGTACAAACTGTCATAGACGAGAAACAAATTAAATAGAAGGCAATCTAATTAATCTCTGAAATCTTGGGAAGAAACTTCAACCACAGCTGAAAACATACAAGTTTCTTTGGTGAAGAAATACTACCTTCACCACTTCTTTCAATGAAAAGAACAAGCAAAGACAATGTGCATATTCTGCACAACTGAAAAAGTGTCATCCTGTGTAAACACTAAAATCCAGGAGGGTTGCCCAAGGCAAATCAGAACAGAATTCTGTCCAAAGACTGAAAAATGTTGCCTTCATTTAATAAAATTAATTATTAGATTTAATGCTGTTGAAGTCATGAAATTCCCAGGAGCTGAATTCTCCATGTAATATAATTAAATAAAAATATTTTTTAAAAAGTACAACACAGGCACCTAGAATGTGGTTTTCCATGCCCTGACATCCCAAAGCATGTCATTTGCCCAAAAGACTGGTGACTGGGAAAGGAAGCACAGTTAAGTATCATTAAATACTATTATTAGCTTTTTAGCAAGGCTAATTATAAGACTGCCAACCCAAAATGTCATGGCGATTTCTCATCTAATCATCTAGCACCTAGGAAATGAATGGAAACTATCAATCCATTTTTCTGACACATATTAGGAAAAACTGATGCTCAACATAAATCTGACATAATTTTTATAACTTCCTGAGCCAAACAAAGGAAATAGAATTAAAAGCAAAACAAACATCACAGGCCAACAAAAGGAAAACATCCCCAACAACCAGTAAAAAATCTCTTCCCTTTCAAATCTCAACAGCATTTGGGGGTTCAAAAGAGCAAACAAACAGGAAAATAAAATGGTAAAGTACTTGACAGTAAAATCAAAAGAACAACAAAACCAAAAGACTACATGACCTGTTTTGCCAAATGATGAGGTTCAATCCCTAGCAAAAAAACCCCAACCAAACAAAAAAACTGAACAAAGTCTCAAATACTAAGGCTGATCCTCTAAAAGATTTTATGTTGGATACCATCTGAGACCTCATGGTGCTACAATGCAGGAATTGTGTCTGGGATTACCATAGCATCACCATGATGAAGCTTTTTATCTTCCTAGGTTTTTCATATTTTCCTGAAAATATAATCTGTGAAACAAATAATTACTATCTTAAAAAGCCTCTTCTTATTGTATTTTTTTATTATTCTAATGCTTATAGTTGATCAAAATAAACTCTTTACAAGGACTTTATGTGTAACTATGCATGCACCTGGTGAGTCTATATAGGATCCACCTCCAATGGTTAAATATTCCCCTCTCACTCTTTGCTCCACAGTATGGTCAGGGATCACTAAATAATGCTAATGCCCTCCTTATCTGACAACACAACGATACCCACAACAGCTTGAACGGAAGACATATCACTGATTTTCCCTTTTAGCTGTTTTAAAAAAAAAAAGGAAATGCAAAGAAAAATCAATGAAATAAATCTCTTTTTAGACACACCTGTTTAGAACTGATTGATAGAAGATCATGTTCAATTAGAGACACACAGGTTTCGTATGCACACACATCAGTAACTGTGACATATGGAGACAACTAAATCAAGTATAACTGCTCCCTGTTCCTTGCATATATCAGTTACTTTCCAAAACCAAAACTGACAGAGGGTTTTTCTCATTAGTACCGGATGACACATCAGTAAGCGGTTGCTGACAAGCGAGTTTCCCCCAGGTTGCCCACACACCTGCAACCGACAGGCGTTTCGAAAAATAATAGATTATTTTTACCAAAAGGAGTCGCACGGGGCTGGTAATAGAAGCACTGGCAGTTACATAAACCGGAGCTAAAAATAAACTTCAGGGGCGCGGGTGGGCAGCGGTGGGGCAGGGCTGGGGCCGGGGGCGCTGCCCCCCGGGGGCGCGGAGGGTCCCCGCCCGCCGGGCACACCCCGCCGGCGGCGCCGCTCCGGCCGGACCCGCGGCCCGCCCCGGCCCGGTCCGGTCCAGCCCAACAAGTCGCCAGAGCGGGGGCGCGGGCGGCCCCTGCTTACCACCAGCACGGGCACTCCTGCGGTCAGCGAGTAGAGCAGCACCGGCGGCACGGCGCTGCGGTCCTCCGGGCCCGGGTAGGGCTTTCGGTACGCGCCCTCGTAGCAGAAGAAGCCTTGCACGTTGACGGTGAAGGTGTCCGTGTATTCGAAGTAATAAGCCAGCATCACGGTCCCTGCCATGATCACCATCTGGAAGTAAAGCATGCTGGTGAGCGGAGGGGGCACTCGCATGTACGTGGGCTCCGGCGGCCGCGGCAGCCCCGCTCCCCGGCGGCGCGCTCCGCCCGCTCCCCGCCGGCATCCACCGCGGGCGGGGGCGGCTCAGCGGCGGCCGGGAGCGCGGTCGGCCCGGCGGGGAGCGCGGCCAGGGCAGGGCAGGCGGGGCCCGGCCGCCGCTCCGGCACCGGCTCCAGCGCGGCCGCGGCTCGTGCGGGGGGCGGGCGGAGCGCGGCGGCGACGGGGGGCGGCTCCGCCCCGCCCCGCCCGCGGAGCGGCAGCCGTGCCGGACCCGGACCCGGCGGGGAGGATCAATCTGGGGGTTCCCCGGCCCCGGGACGGCTCGGCCGTGATTAGCAAGGGAACCCCTCCTACGGGGCGGGAGCACCTGGGTCCCTCTCTACACCCACTCAGACCTGTACGACGGGCGTACACGGGCAGAGCAGCTCCCGCAGGTGTTTGCCGGCCCGGCCCGCACCCGGCACGGAGGCGCCGGGAAGCGGCCCCGACACGGCCAACAGCCGCAGCTCGGACGGGGCCGGGCAGGCAAAGGGATCGCCACTGTTCGCCGGAGTGGTAAAGGTCTCAACATGGAATCACAGAATCAGTTAGGTTGGAAAAGACCTCTGAGATCATCGAGTGCAACCTATGACCGAACACCCCCATGTCAACTAGACCATGGCACTAAGTGCCGTGTCCAGCCTTTTTTTAAACACCCTCACGTACTGTGTGTGATTCTGTGACTCTGTGATTTTGCAGGAAAATAAGTCTTAATTTTTTGCTCTGTGGTTTGCCAGACATTTTTATGTAAGCAGTTTTGGACATACTTTGTAATTATGTATTAGCAACAGAGTCCATCATATACTTCAAAAAGAGATGCCTTTAAAAAAAGCAACCCAACAACTTTATTGTATGTGGTTATATTAAAAAGCCTGTTAATGCATAAGACTAATCCTGAGCATAACTACTTGTTTGGATCATGAGGTATATGAAATACAGCATTTGATTTTTATGATCAACTTGTGCTTCCGGCTCATTACTGACAACAGAAGTTTCCCACAGTCCCACAACTACCCACCCTCACTTCCCAAACCTTCCAAAACCAGGAATGGAAATACATACCCTTTTGTACATGGATACCCATGAAAGCAGTTAATACTCAAAGATTTCATTTAAAGGCTATAAAGAAATTTGTAGCTGGCCATGAAGCTATCCTAGCCCAATTAACATCCTAGAGTAAGAGGAGAGTCTGCTCTGGTGCTGGGAGAAATCATACAGATACAAACACAAAAGAGTTCTACTTAAAAATACATACATAGCACACACCCATACAATTTAGAATAGATGACTGTGCCCAAGGCCCGATTCATCCATATGTGGGCTCCAGTTCGGATTCCCAAAGCCAACAGCTAAAAAGATAAAAAAGTTACTTAAACGTACACACCGCAACCCAAATATTATAAGGATGTGAAACAGTCTTTAAATGGACACCTTAGCCATAAAAAGTCTACTTATCTTAGATAGCAAAGACCGTTAAAAAAAAAAAAAGAGATTTGATTGCTCCATTTTATAATGTGTAATCATTCTCCTAGTATTGTACTTTGGCTTTAACTGTTCATTTTCCTCCCCCTTCTAGAAAATGTTGTCCATATTCAGTGATGTTAGTCTCCATGCATTTATTTTTAATCAGCCCTTGAAGAACACACTTTTCATGCCTGGATTCCACATCCAGTCTATTTTTATGTGTTCTTAACACACTTTCCAGAAGAATCTAAATCATGTCATTCGCATTCCTCTCACCAGACTTAGCTGGATAGCTCCCTACCTTTACAGATTTTTCAGTGAGACATGAGACATCTTGTGGTGAATTCTGCCTAGCACAAAGTTTATATTCCCCATTACTTTAGAGCAGTCCAATACCCATTACCATACACATAAAAATCTTAACCCTGGAAATTGCATACAGGCACCTTCATTGTTAGGATATAAGGTCGGATCCAAAGACCAAAGTCGACAGCAGGACTGCAATAAGCACAAGACTCAGATCTTCAGTTCTGTTTGAGTGGATGCCCCAGAGAAATTCTGGTGGCATATTTCTTTCAAAAATTGCCATTGGGGAAAATCAACCTTTTTCCAGAAACCAGCTAATAAAATAGTCCTGTATTTGGCTATTACAAACCAACTCCTGCTTATAGATATAACAATGGAGATACTGCATGTAGGAATTAGAGGACATAAATAGTCTTGTTTTTACAAAACAGTTTTGAAGCTACTATCAAAATCTCTAAAGGATTTTGGAAAGAATCTCTATAACTAACTCCTTATTAAATAGCAAGGGGCTCGACAACTACAAAACTTTAAAGCAGAAGGTATCTAAAAACTTCAGTGATTTTTTGTCTTTGAAAGCTCTCTAAATTTTTGACTGTTTCTGGAAAATAATGATGAACTGTGTATTTACTTTTATACAGGTAAGATATGTTCTCGCACTGTCAACCTTTCTCAGCCCCTTCTTCCTCTTCTCCTATTTAAAAGATCTTTTTTTCCTTAGAATAAATCTAAAAGGCTTGGTTTATTGCAGCTAATAAAGTTAAAATCTGGATTAGCTTCTGTCTAACTTGCACTAGTTGAAAAACACACATGCACTTGATGCTTGCTACTGTTCTCTTCACAGAGGTCGATTGTTGTAATATATAGCCTACTATTTGGTATGATAATGAAGGGTAGGAATTCATAGGTGAGACAGGTCCAAGCTCCACAAGATGCTTGGAATATTACAAAACCAGACACTAATACCAAACATTGCTATATTTTAATACTCATAACCACATTCCCGTTTTTGCAGATGGACTTCACAAGCATGGCCTGCACACCAGTGATTTGCCTGCATGAATATGTATTTAGCTGATCAAGTAAAACCAAAGATAGCCTTTTATTATAAAAGAGCACAATGTTTATTGACTGCACAGTTGAATATGCAAACATGTATTAAATCAAACAAATAGAAGCATAAGAACACAATCCCCAGTGACTAATGCAACCCACTAAATATATTCTGCAACCACAGTGATATGCAAAGACAGCAGAATGGCAGAGAAAAGCCCAGAACCAACAATTTTTGTTTCAGAAGGCTATTTGTAAAATTATCAGCTGAAACTCATATAACAGACAGACTTGTTTTGAAGTTAACTTCCTTGGGAATAGTGCCACTGAGCTCAGAGCAGGAGTTCCCTTGATAGTCATCATAGATTTATCTTGGTCTCATCATTTGCTACCTAATTTTAAGTGAAATTCCAGACCAGGAGACACAATGTACAGCAGACACAATAAGATACACTGTTTTGCAATACTTTGAAATCATGACCTGCATTACAGGAAGATATTTCCAATTCCAAACCAAATTCACTAACCTTTCATGTGCTTATATCACCACCTCTTATAGTATTTTCTAATTATAAAACACTGCTATGTCAAATGGCAGTAAAGAAACAGAGCCAACCCAACAAAACTATCTCAATTGGAAGAAAATAAGAATTGGTATCAAATCATCCCACTGTTTTTATCTTTCTGTTTACCTCTTTCATGCTTTATCTGAGTGTCAGCAGCTGGAAGCCCCCTGACTATTTCCCTGTTACATCTCCGCACTACTACACTAAGCCAGCCATTTCTGAGAGGAATATTGGATCTGTGTTGATGGCACTTTAGTAGGGAAGAGACAGAATCAACTAGATATTGTTAAGAGATAACTAAAAGGATATTCTAATTGATTAATTAAATTGTTCAACAATACACAGTAATATAAGTCCTAAAGCCCAGGACATTTACTGCTAAAATTTATGTTTGTAGGACCATCATAACGCAAGACAAAAATAATTTCCTAGCAGTTGGAACAGAATCAGCACAGAATCAGAAATGGGGGCCTGCCCTGAACACTTGCAGTAGGATTCAAACAAGTTATGCACCAAATATAAGCTTTTCGTATGGTCTTAGTAGTAGTTCACAGAGAGAGACAACTCCATTAGGTGACTAAGCTCTACTACATTAGGGCAGGATGAATCATCTTCTAAAATGTCATTCATTACATCTTAAGAAATACCAGCCTCTGATGATACCACTTGCAGTGATACAATGATACAGTGACACAAGCTTTGATGACTAGCTTAGACTAGCACCCTTCTTTTAAAGGGCTCTAGTGAGATGTGATCAATTTTGTTTCACTTAAACACAAATAAACTAGCTCTAAAATAGGAATTATACTTTCCAAGAGTCAGAGGGGAAAAAATGTCAAATTGGTAGCAGCATAAGCATTAATATTGTATTTGTATTGCAGTATTACATAGACCTGGACCTCCTTTCCATAGAAGACAACATTTTGCCCCAGTAAGCTTGGGCACCTCTACGATGCAGTGCAAGTATATGAGAGAGTGAACAGATGGAGATGAAATAAATGAGGAGGAGGACAAGGCAACAATGAAATGATTGAGTTTGATATAATGAGTAGCAGTCACAGCACATTAGTTGACTAGTCAGTGTTTACATCAATAATACACTTAATCTTCTTAAAACTGCTTGCTGTATTCAAATTAAGAAGTATTATTGTATACGTGTTCTTCATAGGTTATAACAAAAACTTGGGACGCCAGAGGGACACCATGTGCCTAAGGCCTGTAGTTCCTGAGAATTAAAGCCCACATTAGCATATCTACCACTCTACTGTCATAATAAAAAAATACAGACACAGTTTTGTCAATGGGAAATGACATGAAACACTGGTATTTGAAAGCTCAAATAATGATTATTTAATCTTACCTAAGAAAAACTTAGGAAAAAGCCTACCACTTAGAAAATTGCTACCACACCTATGAAGTTATTTTCATTGATAGACACATTTTTGGTAATTGCAATGCTATATAGACTGTAAACGTGGCAATCTTTGGCATAACTGGCTCAAAACAAATCATATGACTAACCTCAGAATGTTGGAATAAATTACTTCTCTCATTCACACAGAATTCTTACAATTTCTTTTGATGAAAGAAACCCCCTTTCCAAGGTAATCAACGATACCTTGAAAGATTGATGCAGCAGATTACTAAACAG